TGTGAATGCAATATTACTAGATTGCATGTGTAGAAAGCCCTTATACTAATCATAAGGATAACATACACTAAGTCTAAATGGATGAAATGGGTTAAAGTAGGTCATGGCGCTTGCAAAACCAATGGAATATTTAAAGAGTATTCATAAATTGAAGATCATTGTAATGATTCAATAATGATAAGTGAATGCACAAGTATGAAATCCACAAATTAAAGGGATTGACTAGTTGATGGTTGATAAAAATCTTCCAACCGTGTTTGGATATCAATAGAGCTTTAAATAAAGCTTATGAGAAGCATGTAACTTCATAAAAAGATTTCTTGGTGGTGACAAGTTATATCTATCAAATGAATCGATTGTTAGCTAGCTACTTTTGATAAGATACGAAATCACATGTAATGAAAAGTCTAGACATAGAAGTTTTAGACGTGACTTCACAAAGAAATTATCAAAGGAAAAATAATTTCCCATAGAGAGTTAGCGGATCCTAAAACTAAATCTCTAAATAGAGATTTAGTGGAGTCTACTTCGAGTAGGATGTGGTTGAAACTCCTAAACTATAAAGGTCTACCAGTGACGGCTATCCTACCTGTCATTACTCAAAAGGTAATTCACGGGTTCAAAGGGTAACAACAAGTCATTCGATATGTAAATAGTTGCAGTATTATAAAAATTCGCAATAACCTTATCCTAATTTAAATAATGCCAATTGTTATTGAAGTGAGAGTTGAGCTTTAAGCTCTTAATGAAACTTAGTATTAAAATACAAGTACATCTAAAAGTAACAAAGGTATTAGAAAAACTTCACCCATACAAACTTCGAGATGGTGCCGCCTTAATAGGGAGTTGGAGTTTGTCTCTTAAAAGTTTGTTGAAAAGGATTAGCGCAAGGTCATATTGACGCTAAGCGAGATTGAGGAACTTGAGAACACATAAGAGACCATTTTCAGTTTACGTTTTGGTGGCTTTTGGGGGGAATCTTACATCTCTTCATGAATCTTTGGTACCAATTCGTGGGGTATTGATTGACATCTATAAATAAGTGTCGAAGAATCAATACATAAAAAATTGAAAATATATGAAAAACTTATTTACATTCCACAAGAAAGCAAAACTCTTTCTATTTCCATATTAATGTTATTCCTTTATTGTGTTCTTCAAGTTTTGGAGAATCACACATGTGCTTAAGTATTTGATTCTCTACAAGGCTTGATTAGTTCTTCAAACCATTTGTCGCGAAACCCTTTAAGCACTAAAATCATATTCGAGATGAGACAAATATCGTTTAAGGATAGCGATATAATGTAATGTTTGAGCCTTCATATTCATTATGATTTTATCTTTGTTTTCATCTTCTTGATATTATGATTTTTTGTTTCTTCTTCAACCCCGATGGTGATAATTTTCCAACAATAACATGTATATTTGAGTTGGAATTTCTTGATTGTTTTTCTTGTTTGTTCTTTTTCGAGCAATTAAGGTTTTTGATATAATGTTTGGTTTGTATTTGCTTTTCTTGCCCTTTCTGTTAATCCATGTAAATGTACATGCAAAAAATACCAGGCTGTACAACACATTAAACCCTAGTTTGGCCCCTATTATCTAAAAAAATTATTTTTCTCTCAATTCTTTTCAATTACACAAATTTTTATAAAATAATATTACATGTAAATAGAAAATTTTTACATTTTCTTTAATCACATATTCTCCTAATAAATATTATTCCAAAAATTATAATTGCCGCGTAATAGAGGTCAAACGGGGGCTAAAAATTGTGCCCCTGAGAAACAACGGGTGGAACTGAGTTTGTAATGATAAATTTACCTAGTTGCCCTTCAATCTATCTCCTCATTTCAGTTGGTAAGGACAAAATTGGAAATATACATATCACAAAATTATTAAACAATTGTTTCTTGCTGACACGAATACAAACTAAAGATGCAGATGTGGACCCTATTATACTGTTGCAAAAAATAAATTGGACGAATTTAAGAGCGTTAACATAACACTGTAAATGATAGGTGAATTAAATAAGTAATTTAATTTTACTTTTCATTCCACCCATCATGGCATCAATTAGCGCCACTTAAATTGGGGTTTTTACCCCAGTGAAATTACATAGCATTATTATATTATGGTTGGTATATTTGATAATTGTTTGGTGGGAATTAAAATTAAAATTTTTAATAAATTTTAATAAAAATGATGATATTTGCGGTTAAAAATTTGTAAATTTTTTTGGCCTCCATTTTATTTGAAATGTATCTTTCTTTCTTTTTCTTTCAGTCACACATTCTTTAATAAATAATATTACATGTAGTTCGAATTTTTTTTTTTAATCATACATTTTTCAAAGAATTACTATTTCAAAATATATTTTTCCCAAAAATTTGATTTTAATTATTAACTTTGATTGCAGCACCAAATATGAACTTAATAGATAAACCTTAAAGTAAAAAAATCAATAATCAATCTTAATCATATATTTTATAGACTAGTAATGTTTATCAACTTTTGAATCATACACTTCATCAATTTTCATTATAATATATTAAAATTTGATTTTTAGTTAACCAAACAAAGGCTTAATAAAAAGTTTTTGTTAGTGTTATACAGTTATGTAGTAAAGATTTTTGGAGTAGTTTTAATTTTTCTGCAACATGTTACTGACTAGTATATATATTTTTCACTAGAGAAATGCTACAAAAACAGGGTTAAAAACATGAGGGACACGTGTCAAAACGTTAATAGACAGTTTAAAAATTAAAAAATAAAAATAAAACACCCAACCAAATGCTACCAACTCAATCCGTCCACATCTTTCATGTCTTTAATCCTACTCAACCATCATTTCCCTTTTCACTATGGGATCATAGGATATGAAACTAGCCAAAGAAAGTTATCATTTTGATGAAATGGAGAAGTGATGGTGAGAAAGACGGCAATTTGAGGAGGGATTAAAAGGGACGAGCGATGATGAAAGTATTGTTTTAGGTGAAGGTTGATGTAGTGATGAATGGTACGACGTAGAACCATTTTTTTTTTTTTTTTTGTGTGCTTATCGGTTACTTTATGATAGAGTAATTGATTGAATTTTCAAACTACTCATTTTAACTAGGTTTGGACACAAAAATCGAAAAATCAATCAAATCGAACCAACTCAAGTCGGTTTGGGTCGATTTGACACGAATAATTGTTTTGTTTGGTTTTTTTGAACAAAATCATGGTGGTTAATTCAACCATAGTTTGAAACCTCAACTTGCCAGTTAATCAAACTAATCCAACCCACTTATATGTTTATCTACTTTTTTTAAGAAAAATAAAAATCAAAAGATAAACCATAATCTCACAACTATATCTCAATTCTCTCCAATCTATGATATATGTCCTTTTATAAGCTCATTATATTATACTTAGCATTTTTCACCTACTCAAACAGTCAAATTACATAATGCATAAAAAAATAACAAATTTTTTAAGTTTTTTGTTGATCCGTGTCTATTAATCTAATTGTATTTATTAGTCCGGAGAAAATTTTCTTTTTTGAAAATAATGTATTTTGGAAAAATATTTGGATGGAGAATGTGTAGTTAAAAAATAAAGAAAAAATTTGAATTTACGTAGAATATTACTTTATTGAAAATGTGTGATTGACAAAAAAAAAAAAAAAAAGATAGAAAAATGTATTTTAAAAAAAATAGAATCAAAATATTCTGATTTCTTCTGTCTTTCCCATGCAAAATTTTTGACCATAAAGTTATAATTCTAGAGATTGCAATTCCCTTTATTTCCTCATTAGCGCACTCAAAAGAGATTTTTCTTATAAAAAATTCTGAACAGTAATTTGATGATAAGGGCAAAAAAACACAGTGGCTCAAATCCACAAAAGCTAAATGGCCTTTTAGACTTCTATGGTTGGGCAAGCTTGCACCGAAAGGAATAGTGGAAACATTATGATTTCCACTCTCTTTCCCATGCAAATTCTTTGACCATAAAGTTATAATTCTAGAGATTGCAACCCCCTTTATTTCCTTATTAGCGCACTCAAAAGAGATTTTTCTTATAAAAAATTCTGAAAAGTAATTTGATGATTAGGGCAAAAAAAGACAGTGGGTCAAAAGCTAAATGGTCTTTTAGACTTTTGTGGTTGGGATTAAGAAGTTATTTCAGGAACTGTTTGGATGATTTCTAAAAAATATTTTGTTACCTTAAAAGAGTTTTTAAAGGCAGTTAGCTTGAGATGAGTTCCAGAGAAATAGCTTTTACATTTTGAGCCCGTTTGAACCACATTAGAATGAGAATGAGAAATAGAGGCGTTATGAGTCCCACATCAGATATAAAAATTCAAAAATGATGGTTTGATGTGATGGATAACGGTCATATTTTTTATTTTAATGAGGTAAAAATGGGGCTCAAACAGGGACTTTATTCATAGATATTCACATTTGAAAGATTTTTCTTTTTGTGTCATATAACTAATTTTTTATTGTGCAAAGATTAGTCCAAACAATGTTTTGTCAAAATTAATATTCATTCATCAACAATAAAAGAAAAATATTAAGCCCTTGTTTGAGCCACATTATATTCACAAAAATGTATTTTTTTAATAGTGTATTGATAGAAAATGTGTAGTTAAAAAATAAGGAAAAATTTTGAATTTACGTGTAATATTATTTTATTAAAAAATATGTGGTTGAAATGATCTCAAATCACTATATAAGAATGTATTTTTTTTTTTTTAAAGAATGTGAGTCAAATAGGGCCTAAATTAACCCCTTGTTTGAGCTCCATTTTAGAGAAATAATGTTTTTTGAAATAGTAGATTGATAAAGAATATATAGTTAAAAATTAAAAAAATTAAGATTTGCATCTAATATTATTTTATTGATAAATATGTAGTTGAAAATGAATTTTAAAAGAATTATTTTTCAGAAAAATGGGTCTCAAATAAGGGCAATTTATTACGTACGCGTCTTTATCTTGACGAGATTTTGCTTACATCCTTATAATGTCCTTTGTATAAAGTTCAAAATATATAGAAAATCATTTGTGTGAAATATGTACAAATTTTTAAGTTTCATTTTTTTGGTTCATATTCTCGATCCAATCTATCCTTCTCAGCTAAACCTGAGATCTCCAAAACGACGTCGCAAGTGGCTTTATTTATATTTTTGCCCTGATTCTCCTTTTTCCCGTCCTCTCTTGCACTTTCCCTCTGGAAAACAGTTAATGAGTAATCAATTGCATTTAGCATAGCCCAAAATAGCCATAGAAAGATGGATTATTTACTCCCGACATTGAGGAAGAAGCAAGAAGTGGACTCCATAATCAGAGACACCATTGACAAAGTACTCGTTCTCTGGTTCGGGTGCTCCTCCGACGCCGTTTGCTTGCAGCTTGACGGCATCGTATGTTCTTCTCTTCTTATCCCTCTGCGTAACAACAATAATTTTCAAGATTAATTAATCAAAGTAATTTGCTAATTTTCAAATCTGTTATGATTACCAGCTATATAAGTCGGCAAGAGATGTGTCGAAATTCGCGACTGTGGCGTTAGTGGATGTTGACCTCCAAAAATAGGCAACAGGTGTCGTTAGAAGACGATGTACACGTGCACGACTTTCGTAGTATATTGACCCTGAATATGTATGTATGTAGGAGAAGAAGATGGAGGCAAATGAGAGATATATTATGTTCTCTTTTTCATTCATAAATCTGTCCCCTTAACTAAGATAAAAATCGCTTGTTTATACTGATTAAACCGATGTGGTCGTCCTTGGATTAGATCCACGTGGTCTGATCTGTCGATCCTTAGTATCACATCAACTATACTTCACATTAATTACATTGACAGACTTTTAATAAGAGGTCAGCCACCCTACAAACTTAGGCTGACGTCCCTGACACTCATTAAATAAACATGTCACATCAATCAACTCTATAGATGTGCGCACGACTTTCGTAGTATATTGACCTTAAATATGTATGTATGTAGGAGAAGAAGATGGAGGCAAATGAGAGAGATATTATGTTCTCTTTTTCATTCATAGATCTGTCCCTTTAACTAATATAAGAATCGCTTGTTTATACTGATTAAACCGATGTGGTCGCCCTTGGATTAGATCCACGTGACCTGATCTGTCGACCCTTAATATCACATCAACTATACTTCACATTAATTACATTGACAGATTTTTAATAAGAGGTTAGCCACCCTACAAACTTAGGCTGACGTCCCTGACACTCATTAAATGAGCATATCACATCAATCAACTCTATAGATGCACTTGCCAGACCTTCTTACTGTTGTTAAGGACCTTGGGTACTCAAGGAGTTCGGCGGCAAAAAGGTAAACAGCCTCGGAAGGATGGACAAGACCATTTCCACTGTTCTTAGTGAAACGACGTTGGCGCTCAATGTGACAACTTCGGATGCCGATCTCTTCTACAGCAATCCTCGCATGCTTGCCACGTGTAAATACCGGGCGGGGGGGGGGTCCGCATGGCCATTCTATATGACTAGTAACAGTGAACATAGATTCGGATGAGATTCAGATTTATTTAAAATATTTTGACATAACATTGATTCCCTCTGTGGTTTTCTTCTTCAATGCTCACCACATGAAGATGGATTCTGGGTATGAATGTCTCTGTGATTCTAATATAGTATAGACTATGGTGTGTATTGAAATACATTCTGTTGACATCAAATTATTGTTGGGAAAAAAATAAATAAATAAATAAATAAAATGAAACCTAGAGGGTGCTGCGATGAGTTGAAGGGGGAATTCCTAATTCTAAACACAGATAATTAAACTTAAAGAAAAAAGGAAAAAAAAATTGCATAAAAAGTGAAATTAAGGGCGCCTTGAATTTAAGGTGGAGTAGAGAAACACAGGTGCGACTTTATGGCCTCTTGTGATAATATTTACACATGATATTCTGATCAAAGTCAATCAATTAGCTTGCCCAACCATAAAAGTCTAAAAGACCATTTAGCTTTTGACCCACTGTTTTTTTTTTTTTCCCTGATCATCAAATTACTTTTCATAAAAGTCTAAAAGACCATTTAGCTTCAGACCCACTGTGTATTTTTTCCCTAATAATCAAATTACTTTTCAGAATTTTTTATAAGAAAAATCTCTTTTCAGTGTGCTAATAAGGAAATAAAGGAATTGCAATCTTTAGAATTATAACTTTATCGTCAAAGAATTTGCATGGAAAAGACAGAGGAAATCATAATATTTTGATTTCATTACACATTTTCCATAAAATAATATTACACGTAAATTCAAACATTTTTCTTTATTTTTTAACTATACATTATCCATCAAAATACTATTCCAAAATACATGATTTTCAAAAAAGAAAATGGGGCTCAAACATGCTTATCTACTATACATTTGAATTATAGAATGAGTGTTATGGCAATATTTTGGGGCCTCACCTGAACTCTTATCAATTCCCATCTCATTACAAAAATTGTTGTAGGCAGTTTTTAAAATCGATTTGATACATTTTCACAATCTTTAAAACAATACTTCTTTTTTCTCAAATTTATTTTCAACCACACATTTTCGTAATAAAATATTCCACATGTAAATCCAATTTTTTTCCTACAATAAATTCTTCAAAAAATCACTATTTTAAAACTCATTTTTCCAAAAAATTCATTTTAATAGTTCTCAAACAAGTGCATGCATGGCAAATTTTGTTGCTTATGGACATATATGAAATTATTTTTCATGAATTTTTTTACCACATCACTTTACATAGTTTCACCTTCATCTCTCTTCGATGATATACAAGGTTACATTGTCCAACCTATATTTGTCATGATTTTAATTTCGTTAAATCCATTTTTTTTTTTTTTATCATGTGTGCATTTTTGTTATGTTTATGTTGCTCAAAGGGAAGAGCCTTTATAAATGTTAACATGGAATTATGGACTAACATAATTACTAAATTCATATATTATTGTCAAATCGAACAAATAATAGTCATATCGATTATGCATGACATGTATTGGACTTAAATTTTTTTCTTATTTTATATTATTTGGTTGTTGTAACGAGCCAAATTTTATAATTTAACTTGCTATCAAATAGGATGTATTCCAAATACATATTTAAAAAAAAAGTTTATTTCACCAATTAAACATATTACAGTTTTATATTTAAAACCCAGTTAAACAGATTTAAAATTTCTAAATAAAAATTCTTATGAATTAAACTAAGAAATTGCTTAAATAAAAAATATCTTATTACGCCAGATTATTTTTATTGTTCCCATAGGTCCTGGCACCTCGACAACACCAAATCGTCCGTCAACCAACGATTCGTTCTAACCTATGAAGAATAGGGGAAATGGGTGAGTACATGAAAATACTCAGTAGAATATGAAATTTATGATGTGATCCCGAATAAAATATTTAAATCATGCTTCAAAAAAATCATTTCGTCATCATATCTTTAAAATCGATAAGAGTTCAATACATATTATATCTTTAACTTTCATAAGTATAATAATATTTCATATTATATCATATCTTTAACTTTCATAAGTATAATAATATCATAATATTTCACATACCATATCATAATATTTCACATTATATCATATCTTTAATTTTCATAAGTATAATAATTCATCGAAATAAAAAAAATAATTTAAACGGGATAACATAAATTGCACATCGTAATCCAACCTTGACTGGTAAAAGAATTGTTGGAAGATAAGTTAGAATTTCTCGTTCAAAACTTTACTCTTTTTTTTTTTCCCCGTGTCGGTAAGCTTTTTTCGCCCCCATAAAAATATCATCCATTTATATTATATTCTAAAGCCACACATTTCCATATAAGTGACTCATTTCATGGGTTGGTATTTTTTTAAACACGTGCTGGCAATTCATTTGACAAATTCACCCAATTTCAAACAAATGACAGCTATCGCATTGGTAGGAAAAGTCATCATTGCCTAGTACCATGCCAAGAAAATTGAGCAACATATATTATATAATAAGTCATTCAAACATCAAATCAGTACCATCAAAGAAAATTTCTTCATGCAAACTAGTACAGTGTGGATTAATTGGAAGAATCAATATTAACTTAATTAATTATAAATTTAGGTAATATCTTTCAACATCAATAACATGAGCATAGCTTATTCGAAATAATTATTTTTCTAGTCTAATATGCATGATTAATTACGAGCTATCTAACGAGGCCGATATTTAAATACTTATACTTGTTCTATCAAAATTTAATTATTTGACTCAAATAGAAATCTATTTCATTTTAATTCTCAATTTTTCAAAATACAAAAATATAACATATAAAATAAATGCATCTTTATTTTAAGTTTTTTTGGCCGTTACAATCTCCCTACCTTAAATATTTTCATCATCGAAAATTACCTTAACTAATCAAAGAGTTCAAAATACTTGATTTTAAGATCATCTTCCTTTTCCTGTCCGTGATTACGCCATTGCACCTTGACTAGGAAAACTTCTATGTTCCTGAGTTGATGCATTTTTCTGTCCAAAATCATCATTGGGATTTCTTCGTATGATAGGTCCTTTTGTACTTCCAAAGTTCGATAACTTACGACGTTATTGGGATCGTGAACATATTTTCTAAACATTGAGATATGAAACACATTATACATTGCGGGCAGTTCAGGTAGTAAGGCAAGTCGATAAGCAACACTACCAATCCTTTCAAGAGTTTCAAAAGGTCGAATGAATTGTGGTCTCAACTTCATTTTCTTTCCGAACCTCAGCACTCCGGACGAATCCTTTGAAGTTATGGGGAGATTTTGGATAGTAATTGAAGAGAAAATTGTGGGCTTTCCAATGGTATCCAAATCCGACGGACTTGGTGGTCAGAAATTGTCGAAAAATTGACGCAAAACTCGCCCAAAATCAGAAAATTTTGTGCAAATTTTCAAATTTCGGGGAGCTAACTTTGTGGACTTATTCCAGTTGAATCCTTTGGAGTTATGAGGAGATTTTATGTGGTAATTAAAGGGAACATTGTGGATTTTCCAACGATATTCAAATCATGTCTTGGTAGTCGAAAGTTGCCAAAAAATTGTCGTAAAACTCGCCCAAAAATATGAAAAATCTGGGTGACCATTTCTACAAGTTTGTAAACTTCAGTGATAGTTTCTGAAAGCACTATAAACTTTAGTGATCGTTTCTGCAAGTTTTAAACTTCAGTTACCATTTTATAATTTTCAGATAAGTTCAGTGACCATTTGTGAAATAATTTTTCCCAAACAGAGCGTACTATAAAATTACACAATCATTTTTCACGGAGCGCCAGAAAATGATATAGATATTTTGGTCAAGCTTTATGTTGGTTGGTGGAGTTTGGAATGAGTGTTGAAAACAAGGTGTAAAGTATGGTAATGCGTAATGGATTATAATCAAAATGTTGTCGTCTTTTAGCACTCATTCCAAGTCCAAGTGTTGAACTAGTAGTATTGCGTAAAAGTGTCAAGCAGTCGAGCCGGCTCGCAAGTTGAAATTTTTGGCTCGTACTCAGCTAGAGCTTTTTTAAGGTGGATTTTTTTTGCCCGAGCGGAGTCGAACAAAAGATCGCCCAAAAAAATAAGGCTCGGCCCGAGATTTCGGATCGGGCCCTACCAAGTTGACCCGAATTGAGCCAGGCCAAGCTTGACTTTCTGGAATT